CCCTCTCTCTAAATAAAATACAAACTAGGGCTGGGGGTGTGACTTGGTGGTTGAGTACCTCTCTGTTCAATTCCTGGTACCAAAATAAATAAATAAATAAAAAGGGGCTGAAGATGATGTAGCTCAGTAGCAGAACACACTTGAGTTCAATCTCCGATCCAAAAAAATATCTCATAATAACTAAGAGAAAATAAGAAGAAAAAAGGGTTAGGACATTTGTGTGCCTTGGATTATTCAAGGTGTAAATGATCAAACCTGAACCTGGAGCCTATGTACCCTGCAGGTGGTTCTTTGTTAGTCTTTTATTCTATTGGATGGAGGCTGAGAGCATGTTGCAAGCCTTAAGAGCAGGGAGGAGGAGCCTGGGTGGGAAGTGAGAAGGGGTGGTAAGGATGACTTTTATTTCTTAGGTTTTTCCAATAGCTGACTGGGCAAATGTCAGTACTCCTGTCTAGAATTTAAAAAACAAGATGAAGATAGAAGAGGAATTACAGGGGTTGGAGAAGATGTATTTTTTTAGTAGAGGATGATTCTAAAATATTCACCAGGGCTGGGGTTATAGCTCAGTGGTAGAGCGCTTGCCTAGCATATGTAAGCCCTGGGTTTGATTCCCCTGTACTGAAGAAAAAAAAAAAAAGAAGAAGAAGAAGAAGAAAGAAAACCCAGAAATATACACTTGAAGAGATGTTAGGTAGGCAACTGAATACTAGAGATCAAAAACTAAGTAATAATAAGATACTAAATAAATAACTCTCATTTTTTTCCCTTCTCAGTAGCACCTCCTTTTGCCACTTGAACTATGCACTCATGCCATTGGTGCCCTACTCTGATCAGCATCTTCTTTAGGTCACTCCCCCATGTTCTTCTATGACTCATTCTTTGTCCACTTGCCTTGCCTTGTCCTGGACAGCTTCATCCTGACTTCAGAACCACTGCCTTTTGCAGCTTCATGACCTTCAGCTTTAAAGTTCACTTCCCAGACCCAGCCTGGATCTTACTTTGACCCAGACATAGGGCAGTTCTGAGAACTGGAAGGTTATAACTCCACCCTTTGACAGCCTTCTCTTGTCTTTCCCACTGAACAAACACCATGGACTCTTATCAAAGCCTCCACTGTTTTTATGTCCTTCCTCCTCTCCTGGCTCTTCCCTTCCTTACTCTGCTTGGAGGCTCTTATGAGTCACTTCTGCCACACCATCCCTGGCACTCCGTTTCCTTTTCATAGTGGCCTTCTGGTGCATCTGTCTGCCCAGTCCCCAACCTTTATTTTTTTCCTTTTTAGTTATACATGACAGTAGAGTAGGACTGAAGCTATAGCTCAGTGACAGAGCTCTTGCCTCACATGATAGAAGAGTAATAATTTTGACATATTTGTAAAAACATGAAGTGTGTCTTATTCTAATTAAGATCCCAGTCTTGTGGATGTACGTGATGTGGAGATTCACTGTAGTGTATTCATATATGTACATACATAAGTCATGTTAGATTCATTTTCCATCTCCTGCTCCTTGGAAGCCCTTTGGAGGTTAAGTACATCATTTACCAGTTGCCACTGCAAACTGTGGTTGCAAGCATTGAGCACCTCCATCCTCCATGGGAGATCTTTTCCTAGATGTTTAGTTTCCTAAACTTACAGATGTTTATCACTGTCCTGGAGACCCCCTCAGCCCCAGGCCTCTTACTGAGCATGATACCTTGTCTTTTCCTTACAGAGGAGGAAACATATAGGGAACACCCTTGCTTGCTTTCTTTTCAAAACTTAATGTCTATGTTGATCAACTTTTCATCACTGTGTGACAGATTACCTGAGAAAATCATCTTCTATGTTTGGGGCTCACAGTTTCACAGGTTTCAGTACATGATTGCTTGGCCCTATTGTTTTTCTTCCCTTCTAGCCAGCAAGCGTGCTTTTGTGTCCTCCATATTAAAATAGCTCTAATTTCTTGGTCCCACTTGGTCCTTGTGTCCTTTGTCTAGTCTTGAAGCTGCAGACCTTCTTTACATTCTAGTCTTTACTTCCCCCCTCTGATTCTTCCACCACTTGATTTGCATTCTGTTATCACTAGTCTAGTGAAGCTTCTCTAGCCTTTGGGGACCTCCTATTTGACAGATGCGGTGACATCTCATCCGTTCCCATCCTGCTGGTGGCAACTATGAATTTCATACTTGAGAGCGCTTATCTCTCAGGCTTCTGTGAAATCTTTGTCTCTTGCTTCTCTCCCTCTTCCTCTCCCACCACTTCAGCTGTTTCATTCCTATTTTTCTTCTTTGTATCCCTTTCTAGCTTCCTTAATTCTAGGCTACATACTGTGTTCCAGCCAGGATGGTTCATGGTACCAGAATTTTATGTGATTGCTGGATACTTGTTGGCTGGTACAACAAGGCAATCCTGCCTTAGAGGCCAAGAGTCTAATTTAGAAATGGTCTAATTCCTATATAAAACACCAGCTGAGCCTTACTTAAATCTCAAGGGCAGTACTTTGGTTTCTTCCCATGACTAGTCCCCTGTGGCTCTCTGCCTATTCTCCCTAGTAGGGAAAGCTCCACGTAGACCTACATAGCATCCGTGTCTAGTGATGAAATTTACAGAGGGTTTCAGGAAAGTTCCAATAATTAAAAAAGTATTGACAGATTAAAGGGATACTTAATAAAGTGTAGTGAACTTGAGGATACAGTTTGGGCTGCAAATCTATTTTGAAGACCTAGTACTTGAAAAAAAATCATAAAATGTATATGTGTGTATGTGTACACATGTGTGTATATATGATACATATTTTAGGTTTGGAGACACAGAAGTAAGGCATAGACCTTGCTCTTTCTTTCTATCTCTACAGAGACAGGAGATAAAAAAGAAAACTAAGAGAATTACAAGGGACTGCTGTGGTTGAATGATTTTGGGGGAATCATGGGCATATTGCTTAGCCTTTAGATATAATGAAGGCGTAACCTTCCAGACATCATTGTGTAATGGTCATGAGCCGAGACACCCGAGGGAGGGAAGGAATGAGGGGACCCCATATAAAAGTGTGAGAATAGAAGAGACCCTCTGGAAAAGGTGTGCCTGGTATCTGAGGGACAATACGACGAGTTCATCTCTCTCATGCTGCATTTAAAAATCACAGTGCTTTGTTCTGAAGATATGGCTGAAAGGCAAGTCGGTATTTGAAATAGCGCAAATGGGGGATGGCAAGGGAATAGAAAGCATATTTGGGAATGTCAGTATTAAGATATTAAAAGTTGTGAAAATTAATGTGATAACCTTTTCATAAGGCAGCTGAATAAAGAGGGAAGACACACAATATTGTTGAAAGTATGGCTATGGAGTAAATCAGCTAAGTGACTCATAGTGAAGGAAAGGGAAAAATTTAACTATTAGGCAGTTAAAGAAATGTAAATTATAATTGAGGAATGATGGGGTTCTTAGAGCTCTGGAACTGGGTTTGAAACAATAGCCAACAGTAGTGAAGGCTTTCTTGTAACTACATGATGGGTGGGGGGGTGTTCTGTTCGTGCCGAGTGTTGCAGCCTCAGTCTGTGTAGCACCTCAGCACACACATCTCAAAGCCCTTGTGGGATTCTTCGGATACTGATTGCATTCCATGTTCAGCCTACATTCCTCTTCCTTTCCTTCATCATGCTCTAGCATTTTTGTCACCGCTTGCATTTCACTTATTACTTGCACATAGCAAGCACTTTTTGAAGCCTACTGAGACATTAGAACCCTCCATGGGGAGGTCATGGAGGTGCTCAGATCTCCCTTCCAGAGAACCTGGAGTGAAGAGGGAGCCTGACAAACAGCGTCCAGCTGCTGTGACTTCAGCTGTGCAGCAGTGCTCACATGAGGTCATGCTCTGCCCAGGACATACCCGCCCAAGTTTAAGAGGCAAATACTGCATCCTGTGTCTCGTAAGTGCAAAAAAAGGAAGCAGAGCACCTGGTAAAGTTCTTGGGTTCTGGAAGCAACATGTGGCACCCTTCAAAACGGCTCCAGCCTTTATTGCTGGGCGACAGAAGGAAAGCTACCAGCTTTGAGAAGGCTTAGAGAAGGGCAGGGTTTGCTTAGAGGTTCAAGCTGTGATGCAAGCATCCCTGCTTCTTAGGTCCTGTGTGATCAAGCAGGTACTATGGTGTTGGAGGTTTGAGTGGTGAGAAAGACATGTGAACATATGGCAAGCCCCAGTGGAAGAACTACAACATAGGTCTGTGAGAACCTAAAGCAAGACAGTATTATCTGCAATAGAGAATTAGGTGTCTTTCTTTCTTTTTCTTTTCTTTTTTTTTATGCTGGGGATTGAACCCAGGGCTTCATGCCTGTGAGGCAAGCACTCTACAGACTGAGCTATATCCCCAGTCCCGAGAATTAGGTGTCTTTAAAAAAAACACTTCTTGGTAAGTTACTTGGCTTTGGTAGAAAAGAAATATTTGGGGCTGGGAATGTGGCTTAAGTGGTAGCGCGCTCGCCTGGCATGTGTGCGGCCCAGGTTCAATCCTCAGCACCACATACAAAGATGTTGTGTCTGCCAAAAACTGAAAAATAAATATTTTAAAAAATTCTCTCTCTCTCTAAAAAACAAAAATAAAAAATAAATAAACCTTAAAAAAAAAGAAATATTTGACAATGAGACCAAGTGCCATTTGTCTAATATTTCCCATTACAAGCTGCATCTGTTGAACCTGCCAAGACAAAGTGGGACAGACCTGAAGCAATCTAAGTTAGACATGGTACATCCAGGACCAGACTGGGCAGGACCAGAGGGCACAAGAATTCCAAGAACAGGTTGCCTAGTCCTCCGTGTCCTCCACCAGGGTTGCATTCCAGCTCTCTGGGCAGATTTGGATTCCATACAACCAGCTAAAGGAAGAGAAAAGACCATATATAGTTTCTGGATAGAAGCTTGGGATATGAATTAGCTGGAAATGAGTTGAGATTGCATTACACCCACACTCAGGGAAAGCCTGTATAGATAGGGAAAATCTTTCCAATGGGTACAGCTGTGAGCTGTGAACCATGACATATATTTTATGTGAAAGGAAAAATGGCCCAGTGTCGGAATATATGTATATTTCTGAGCAATGACCAACAGCCTGGTCATCACATCAAGGACCTGGAAGGAAGAGAACTGGAAGAATGGAGACATAAAGGTCCAGGTAGAGGCATGTGGATGAAAGTATAGAAGTAGACAGAATGTGAAGGGTTCCGTATTGAAGGCTATTGACCTCCATGGAGGAGGCACTGAAAACCCAAGTAGACGACAGGGTTGTCCCACATCTAGAACCAGGGACACATAAATTTAGCAGCCCCAGAGGTAAAGGTTCCAACTAAACATGGGTCCAACAACAAGGACTCCCACCTATCAAGGCCAGTTTAGCGGCTGCTGCCTCTGATTATCTAACCTGTCAGCAGCAGAGACTATTCTGTGAGGATACTAGTTACCTATTTGGTGGCAGGTTGACTGTATTGGGCTCATTCCAGCCTAGAGGAGCAAGTGGTTCATCCTTACTAGGGATAGACAACTACTCTGGGTATAGATTGGCCTTTCTGTCCGGAGCCTCAGCCTCTGTCACCACAATCCAGGAGCTAATGGAGTGCCAGATCCACAGGCATAGACTATCATACAACAAGTGTCTGACCAGGGGGTCCACTTCATAGTGAAGAAGGTGCTGGAGTGGGCCCTGGTCACGGGACCCCCCCCCTTATCCTATCACATACCACATTATCCATACATGTATTATCTATGAAGAGCCAACCTCATGGAATGGTAGAATGATCTCCTTAAAGGTACAGCAAAGTTGCAGTTTTCTGGTATAATCTGCAAAGATGCAGTTGCGTCTTTTGGGGTGCAATATATGCACTAAATAAGACTGTTCTATGACATTATCTCTAATAGGAAGAATATGTACACTAGGGAACTAAGAAATGGAAGCATCAGTACCTAGTTGATCTTATCCAGTGACTTAGGCTTTTTTATCTTTTCTGTGCCCGAAAAGGCAACATCTTCAAGAGTCCCATCTCCACCTGGCCACCTAGGCTTCTGATAACCCATAGTGCTCATGCAGGGCCAGGGCCCCAGAAGAAGCCTCACCAAACCCTGCCTGCAGCCAAGCAGAGGCAACTGGGCTCTTCTGGGTCCCTAGAGGAGAATCTAGAATAAAAAGCAGGAATTCTTTTGAACTACAACCTATGTCTGCTGCCTGGCAGACTTCAGTGACTCATGCCCAAAGA